GATGTGTCCGATCTCGTGGTTCATGACCTTGACCACGCGCCTCGCTGGGGTGTGTGGTTTGGTCAGCTTCTTGTGCACGCGATACGACGAGACGACGCCAACCTCACCGCCGACCTCGGCCAACCCCAAAATCCCCCAGTCCTTGTGGCCATGCGCTGATGTGGAGATATCCTCGCGCGTGAAGCCGAGCGTCATCTTGCATCGCTTCGCGTCGTGCACCACGTCGAGGTGATCCAGTATTTTGTCCGCGCGCCAGCGCTTGCGAGGTTTGTAATAAGCCTCTTTTGGCATCGAGCGCGCATCCAGGATCTCGACGGGGAACCCATACACATAGCCGATGCCACGCTCGGTGGCCGCGAGCAGCTTCCTGTCATACTTGCCCAGCGGCACGAGGCAGACGTTCATCTCCTCGGCGCTATGTTTGGGTGAAGGCGCCTCGCCCATAAAAAGCGCGGCCAGTGGCAAGAGCAAGAGGATGCTCCCGCGTCTAACAATGGCGGCGGTGCGTGAGTTCGAGCGCAAGACAAACCTCCAGGAGTGATGCGGAGGATGTTGTCAGGAATAGCGCTAGTGCTCGGCTCCCAGGAACTTCAAGAATTCGTGGAGGATGTAAGCCGTGGCGCCCCAGACAGGTTGCTCGTCCACATCGTAGGTATGAATCGGGTAAGCCATCCCCTGGTATTGTTGCATGACCACGCGATGGACACCATCGGCGACAAACGCCGACAGAGGCAACACGAGCATGTACTCGATCTCATCCGGGTTATGCTCGAGCGCATAAGGATCAGGGAACTCGCCGACAAAGACGTGCATGCGAAACCCCGTCACCGTGGGCACATCCGCGAAGGGCCCGAAGACCGAGACATCCTGAGGAGCGAGCGCGACCTCTTCGTGCGCTTCGCGCAATGCGGCGTCACGCAGCGTGTCATCGGTCGGATCGAACCGGCCGCCGGGGAAGCTGATCTCGCCGGAGTGTTTGCGGAGTTTTTTCGCCCGGCGAGTCAGCAACACATGCATGATGCCATCGCGCTCGGTGAGCGGGATCAAGACCCCCGCCTCGATCATCTTCGAGGCATCCTTGCCAAAGAGCCTCGCGTCGACCACGAGCGGTGGCGCGTCATCGAGCTCGCGCTCGAGCACAGCTCGAACACGGTCGGGATGGAAGAGATCCTGGGTCACGCCAGGGACTCCTGGTCAGCTGATCTTGAGCGCGAAGACATCGCGCCCATCCTCTTTGCCCTTGTATTGGATTTCGAAGATCTCCAACACGAGCTTGCGAATTTTGCCTCGAGGAAGACGCACATGCGCGTACTCCTCATCATCCTCGACCTTCATCACGCGGCAGCGGCCGAGCTTGGGGTGATCGAGGTAATCCCCTGACTTCATCAGCGGGCGCTCTTCGTCATCGGGGAGCTCGACGTCCGCGTAGATCTCGCTGGCGGCTGGCTCGGGGCTATGCGAGCGAGGCTTACGACTGGCCGGAGTAGCGCTCTTTTCGCTGCGCGCGATCGCCTCGCCCCAGCTCATGTTCGAAGCCTCGGGCTTTGGCGCCGCGGGCTCTTCCTTGGCTGGCGCGGGCTCCTCTTTCTTTGGAGCTGCTGGCGCAGGAGCGCGCTCGGGAGTTGCCTCGTGGCGAGCGGGCTCCTGACGAGCGGGAGCTGCTGCTCGCGCCTGTGGTTTTGCAGGTCGGGCAGACTCGGTGCTCGAGAGCTTGCTCAAGATCATGCGCCCCGTCTCGGAGTCCTTGCCGCGAACGAGCTCGATATCTTCGAAGACCTCGAGCACGAACTCGGCGACCGAGACGCGCGCGCTGCGCACCTGACCTGTCACCATGTGCGCGCCAAAGTTGCTCTGTCCGAGCAAGAGCGCGTCGAGGCGCAGGATCACCTGACCTCCGATGGTGGCGATGGTCCCAGTGAGGGAGGCGATCTCGGCCGGTCCCCCTTCGTGCGCGAGCTTGTAGTCGCGCGCCTTCGGATCAAAATGTGTCAACTCGACGTGTTCGAGCGCTCCGCTGACGCGGACTTGACCTGCGGTGATGTGCTCTTCCTGGCAGAGCGCGGTGAGAGAATCGATAAGTTCGGCGCCCGAGTTCAGCTGACCGATGATACGACGGGTGCGATAGGATGTTTCGTGCTTCAAGTTGAAACCTGTACGGGATCGGGAGTACGAGAGGCCAGTGACGGCTGCAAAGGTGCCGTTCAATATAGGCAGCCCTAAAGGAACCGCAAGATGCAACACGAGAGACAGCACGTGCTCCTCTATCCCAACCTCGACTTCGAGTACGCGATGATGCACGGGAGCGGGTGGAACCCGCCGCGGATCATCGAGAAGATGTGTTCGCGCTGGCGCCACCTCCTGCGTTGTCTCCCCGAGCTAAAAGACATCGAAACACGCGTTTGGGATGGAAAGACACCGATCCCACCAGAAGCAACCCTCCACGCCTGGGGGATCGATCACCGCGTCAGGGATGCGCTCTCTGCTCATCGGCATATCACCCTCCCTTCTGCCGAGGCGATCGCTATCGCGAATGATAAACGACACGCGCTCTCCGAGCGCGCGCGGTTGGGCATCGAAGGCTTGCGATCATCACGCGAGGTCACCTCCACCGAGGAGCTCGCGCGAGCATCGCGCGCCTTCGCGAGCGAGCAGACCCCATGGATGCTCAAGCATCCAATGGGCGTGAGCGGTCGAGAGCGCATGACCTCAGGCACATCGAGCAGCGGCGAGGATGGGATCGACCGACGCGTCCTCGCCTGGGCATCGAAACACTTCGACGCGGGCTGGGGGCTCGTGCTCGAACCTCGCGTCGAGATCATCCGGGAGTATTCGCTGCACGCGGACATCTCGATCGAGGGGGCGATCATCTGGCGAGGTTGGTGTCACCTGATGGCAGATCCTGTCAGCGGAACACATCGAGGGCATCGCATCGAAAGCAACGCACGCGAGATGGACGAGGAGGCGCCAGCGCATCGCGCGCGGGCGCCGCCTCCTCGTCCCCGCGCTAAAAGAGCTGGCCAGGCGTGGATACCACGGCCCCGTGAGCATCGATGGCTGGGTGGGGACGCTCGCAGGAGAGGAGATCGAGCAACCTCTCTCTGAAATCAACGCGCGCTACACCTTCGGGAGGATGGCGCTCGAGCTCGAGAGGTTTGTCCCCGAAGGACACGATTACGCCTGGCATCACCCGAGGCATTCGGAAGAACCAGAGCGGCGAGAGAGAGCGCTCGAGCGCTCTCTCTCGCCGGGGTGTTACAGGTTGCCGGAGGCGATCGATCCAGGCGGCGAGAGCGGCACATGGGTGGAAGTGCTCGCCTGAGGCGCCGCGCCAGCCAGGAGTTTGTTTTTCAAGAGATGGTGCGTTCGCTGTCGGGGATCTCATCGAGGCGCGCGGCGAGCTCGAGGAGGCTCGCGAATGTGTGAATCCCGGTGTCGTGTCCATCCGCCCAGCAGATGCACATCGCGTAGTTTCCGACCGGGGTGACATCATCGATGGTGGCCATGCGCCATGAGGTCACGGGCACCCACTTCGGGGGGCCTCCGCCGTGGCCCTGACATTTGGCGCAAGGACAGTATCCGCGCAGATACACGGTGGGATAATCAAAGGAGCGGCCATCATCGAAGCGCACACGCAAGATGTGCTCCTCGTCGATGTAGCGGACCTCTTCTGGGGTTGCCATCTTCTCGAAACCTTCGCTGATTTTTGGTGGGTGTGAGGATTACAGCTTCTTGAACACTTCCGCCTTGCCCATGCTGGTGCCGGCAAAGAGGACGTCTGTCCCGAAGTCGAGACATGTCAGCCCGACGCCCGTATCGAGCACGAGCGGCGCGTCGTGTTCATTGAAGAAGAACTTGACCTTGCCCTTGGCGTTGACGCTCGCGAGCAACCCATCGGGGTTCACGCGGATGTCCTTGATCGGGCAGGATTGCTGATCGAGGATCGCGGCCTTACCGCGTTGATACTTGATCAAGCGGCCATCCTCGGCGGCGGCATAGACGCTGCTTCGGTGCGAGGCGACGCTGTTAAACTTGCCATAGCCCTCGATCAAATCGATCTGGATGCCGCGGCGATCCCAGAGGCGCAGCTTGCCCTCGTGAGAGACGGTCGCGAGCCCCTTGGACCAGAAGACGACCCCCGAGATAGGTTCGGCGGCGTGATCGAGCACCGCGAGGCACTCGCCATCCTCCAGGCTCCAGAGGCGCGCGGTGCCATCGAGCGAGCCCGACAGCAAGAGCTTCCCGGTGGAGTTGACCGCCAGGCAAGAGATCGGGCTCACGTGTCCGGTGAGCATCGCGCGCGGGATCGAAGGCTCCGGCGCAGCGCCAAGCTTTCCTGGCAACAACCACGCGTGGATGTAGGCGCGATCATCTCCTCCGATAAGCAAACGCCCGTTTGGCGTCGAGGTGAGCGAATAAATCACTCGACCCCGGCCGGGGAGTTGAAAGAGCCTGCCGACACGCATGCTCCAGACCTCGACGTGGCGGCGCGCGCCGGAGGCTGCAAAGAGTGAGTTCTCGCCATTGTAAACGACCGAGAAGATCTGGCCGAGATCCAGGTCGACGCGATCGAAGTTTCTCCAGCGCTGCGTCTGAGCAGACGCGCGCTTGAAGATCTTCATCGACGCCTTGCCTTCGGCCATGCGCATTTGCCAGATCTCGGACATGCCGACATCGATCAGCTTGGGCGTGAAGTCCGTGTACTCGGGCTGCGAGAGGACCTCGGAGACCTCGGGGAAGGCGCCGAGCTCCTCGGCCATCGAAGTGTCTTCCGCCTGATTCCTGGGGCGATACACGAAGTTGGACATCCCCAACATCGTCGAGTTGGCGTTCTGGGTCGTGTCCATCGACAGGTATTCGGGCGGAAGCCCGGGGCCTTCGCCCTCCTGGCCGAGCGGGTTGAGGCCGGGGCGCGTGCCCTCCTTGGGCGCGCGCGTGTCCTCGGCGAATGATGTCGCGTTCGCCACGCTCATCGACGGCGGCATCGAGGGGTCCTCTTGCCCGGGCGCGCTGTAGGCAGGGGTCGATTCGGCCAACCCCGCGCCGGCGGCCACAGGTGGCGCCTCTGGGAGCATCGGGAAGCCTGCGGTGTCCCTTGGCGAGGTTTGCTCTGACGCACCGAGCGTGGAGAGCGGCGTCATCGGCACAGATGAAGGGACTGGTTTTGCGGGCTCCATCTCTGGGGAGACTGGAGCACCAGGGGCTTGCTCTGTCGGCTCTTCGGACGCGTCATCGTCATCATCGATGACGAGCGAGCGGCGCTGTAATTTCGCAGGACGCAAGATCCCGGAGTGCGTCTCCAGGCTCGGGGCCGAGGGCGTATCGAGGCCATCATCAGGTGCGAACTCGACGTCAGAAGGTTCTGAAGATGCGATCGCACCGGGAGGGCTATGCTCGGACTCTGCAACCGAGTCGGACTCGGCATCGGACTCTGCGAACGAGCTCGAGAAGGACTCCCCTTGCTCCGCGGCTGCCGAGGGCGTGTCGCCGAGCATCACGCCCGGCCCGGCGACGATGCTCCCCTGGAGCTTGTTAAACATGCTCGGTTCGTATTCGTGCGTCTCCTCTTCATCCGCGCTGATTTCAGCGCCGACGTCGGCCTCGTCCTCTTCTTGCCGAGGCGTCGACTCGGGGGAGCTGCTGCTCGCTGCCGCGGCGACTGCGAGGTTCTCTCTGTGGCGCCGGGTCACCTCGGCGAGCAATGACCCGAGCGGCTCGGTGCGCTTGGTCGGCTCCTTCCCTGGCGTTCGAGAAAAGAGCGAACGCACATCCTCAGGTTCTTCCTCGTCTCCCGCGTCCTCCTCGAGCGCTGCGGCGCGCTCGTGCTCCTGCTCGACCTCTTCAGGGCGCATGAACACAGGAGGACTCGCAGAAGAAGAATCCTCTTCCTCGCGCTCTTCTCCTGCGTCGGAGATCGCGTCGCCAGACTGCGAATCGAGCGCGGCGACCTCGGAGGCTTGCATCGGCGAAGAGCCCGTAGGTGCCTCGTCGGCAGGCTCCAGGAAGTTGGCGCCCTCGCTCTCCTCGCTTTGCGAGCTTATCAACGAGAGCGCGCCTGCCGGGAGCACCGGCGCGAACGACTCCTGGATCGTCGCCAGGTTACCGGGGTGGATATCCTCGACCGAAGTCGAAGGATCATAGGTAGGAGGTGATGGTGGAACCTCCGGGACATCGATCGCGGAGTCCTCTTCTTCTTCGGGGCGAGTGTTGGCGTCATGGAGCGACCCTGTGAGCACAGGGACTTCCTCGACCTCCGAGCTGCTCTCATCACCAGCGCTGTCCTCGCGAGCCAAAGCATCCGCGGGTCGATCGATAGAGATACGCTCCCAACGAGGCTGGAGCGTCACGTCACCATCAGCCTTCGGAGGCATGGTCACGTCGCCATCCATCGCCAAACCGCCCATCATCGGCGCGGCGGATTCTCCTGGCTCTTCAGACGCGCCCTCGTCTCCCTCTCCATCTTCAGCGTGTGCCTCGGCCGCTGGCTCTCGCGCCACTGGCTCTCGCGCATCCTCCTCGTCGCCTGCTGCCTCGGAGAATTGGAAGTCGAGGCTCTCGAAGTCGATCTCGAACAGGCCATCTTCACGCGGCGCCTCCTCGGGCTCGGCGGCGTCTTGTTGGGGCGCTGGCGCGGGCTCCGCTGGTGGCGAGGTTTGCTCGGGGCGCGAGGAGGACTCGGGCGTCGGCGCCGCCGCGAAGGCACCGGAGGCGCGCGCGGCCTTGAGCCTCGCGAGCAGGTTGCTGTTCAACGAAGGCTTGGATCGATCTTCTTCTCGCTCCTGCTCCCCCTCAGGCTCTGGCTCAGGCGCTGGCTCTGGCTCGTCACGAGGCTCTGAGGCGACGCTTCGTGCATCCGAGACATCGTCTTCTGCAACGGCGACCTCGGATACTTGTTCGGCTGGCCTCTTATCCTCATCTTCGTCATCCGAGGCATCGAAATCGACCCGCTCCTTTCCGAGCACAGAGATATCGATCTCGGTCTCATTGGCGAGTGATTCGGACTCTTCGGGAGCTTGTTCGACGGGGGCAAAAGATGTGCTCGCGAAGGAGACCTCGCTCTCGGGAGGTTTGATCTCGTCAACACCTGCTATGTCGCCTGCGTCATCAGATTCAGCGCCTGCGTCATCAGATTCAGCGCCTGCGTCATCAGATTCAGCGCCTGCGTCATCAGATTCAGCGACCGCATCCAACAGCGACGCATCGAAGCCAACCTCGGGCTCGAGCGTGGAGCTGCCGGAGGCATCGACCGACTCTGCAGGAGCCTCGTCAGCCTCGGCCGCGTCAGCCTCGGCTGCGACATCCTCGGCCGGAGCTTCGTCGACGAGCACGATCTCCTGCTCCTCTTCTTTCTCTTGCTCCTCTTCGTCCAGCGCCTGCTCGCTCGCCTGGGACGCCTCGACAGCTTCGAGGATCGCCTCGGAGCGTTGGAAGAGTGGCGTGCTCTTGCTCTCGAGCCCGCTTGCCACATCGGGCGGTTCTTCCGAAGAAGAAGAGCT